TTTTCCTAACAAGTGCGCAAAGTGATACTTTCCCGCACGAAAAAGCAGTTAGACGAACGACGCGTAGCGGAGTTCGGATAAGCTTTGAGTGCGGGAAAGACACTTTGCGCAAGTGTCAGGAACAATACTTTTTCTACGAGTGTCTTAAAAAAGAAGAATTCTAAAATAAATAATGGAACTTTATTTCAACACAAATACAGGAGAAAATTATTATTTATTATTATTAACAATACTCATATAAAAAGTACAGCTAGGAAAGGGGAGGCTGATGATGATGCTTCGCTGCTCACTGTTGGCATGGTATAAGTTTGTATTTCAACTTTTCGAATAGCGTTTGACGAACTGGGCATTTCATATGGTTTCTTGGGACTGCTGTTTAAAATTTTGTTACTTAAACCTTTTTTGTAGCTAGTTGATTCTTCAATGTATCCCTCGGCTACCGTGCTCGATTTTCAGCCGCTCAACCGCTTTATATCCGTGAGTCCCTCTCCAGAATTTGCAAGTAACGTTGCGGAAGATCGCCGAAAGCTATGGCCAATGTACAGCGTTGGATTCGGCAACCTCAGAAATGCTGCGATCTCAGAAGGCATCTTCCCGAAGTTATTGATCCCAACGCATTGTTTTGTGCATTTTCCTTCTTTGTAATTTACAAAAAAGCGTTGGTGTGTTGTTGATGGGCGTGAGGCTGTATACTTCCGATAGAAAAGCAAATATTTTCCATCGTTTATTTTTCCAGATATGGCGAAAGAACGTGAAGTATAGTTTTTTGAGTCTTGAATTTTTACCACAATTAAATTGCCTTTGTCTTCAATATCACTTGTCTTCATTTTTGCGAGTTCTTCTCGTCTGCAGGCACCAGCGAGTCCAAAAATAGTGGCAACTTTTATTAAAAGATATATATCATCTGAAGCCTTATTAAGGAACGTGGAAATTTCTTCTTTCGAAAAAATCTTCGATTTTTTTGGCTGAAAGAACAATACCTCCTCTTTCAAAGTCTTCACACCTTTTTCTTCATACCATTTTTCAAATAAATAATATTGCTTCTTATACTTTTCTTTCGATTTCGCTGGCAGGAGCTCTAAGTTTGCCAAATTAGCGGCTTCTAGAACATCATCTGGGAGTTCTTCCTCCATTGTGAAAGGATTCGAAGAGATTTTTCAAATTTCTTGATGCCTTGTCGACGCTTCTCTGACGTTTGAGAAAATGTTTGTACTTGGTTGCTATCCCAGCCTCAGCAACACAAAAGTCTGAAGTGACAAACACCATGTCATGATACGCATGGTGGCATTATTTATCTATGGAATAATTATTGTTGCCTATTCGAAGTCAAAAAATAATGTTCCCTGTGGTTCAAATTAATAGGATATTCACTAAGCGCTAAATTCAGCTAAAACCCTTCTTTTTGAATATTAGGTTATCCCAGAAACCATCAAAACATTGAAAAATCGAGCATAAATACAGTAATTATGCCTAAGAAAAATGAGTGCGCAAAGAGTTTCCGTGCGCAAAGTTGAACTTTGCGCACGCAAATGAGTGTGCAAAGTAACTACTTTGCGCACGCGAGTAGAAAATAGCCCTTTTAGGTGCTCGGAGATATTCAAATGTAAATAACTATTTAAGTTCCTGAAAAAAAATAATAAAGCAAAATAATAAAAAACGAGCAATTTTCGCCTTCAAAAACTTTACTCATGGGTGAATAACTAGACAACATATAAGATTTTCAGGTGAAAGTGCGACTTCATACAACCTTGAAGAAAGTTTATGAGCAGTCGCTGCAAAGTTAGGATTGCAGGTTGTACCGCTAGAGGGCGGCCAAAGTCGCCCAATAGAAAATCTTTATTATTGGTCTGACTTTGGCCACAACATGTTTATTATAAACCGAATTTTCGCGACGAACTACTTCCATGATTTCATAAACTCAAACACTTTCGCAAGAAACTCATGACGTCATATTGAACATAGTTCGACAAAAGCATGGACGCAGCTTCTAGCCAGCGTTCAAACTCATGACGTCACAGACGAACTATGGTTCATCCTTGGATGAACTACATTCGTCACGAAAATTCGGTTCTATTTAGTTGGTAATTAGGCACTAGCTGACGTCACACAGATAACCTCACAATGACGTTTTTGTCCCCTTATCCAAAGTGACATATGATTACGTCACTTAGATCGACTTAGATGACGTTATACGATTACGTCACCTGATTAGAACCAGGCACAAAACAACCAGGCAGGGAAAATTTAAGAAGTGGATTTGAAAAAGCAGGAATTTACCCTATCAACAGAGTTAGTTCCTATTATTTTTTTACCAAAGAATGTTCTTTCAATTAAAACCATTATAAAACATTTTGTTCTTTTTATTATAAAGAGATGGCTATGCTTGTATGCTCAAAAGCCTAAAAAAACAACACAAACCTATTTAGCGATTATACCTATGGCCAAAGTAACCTAACCTCGTTGTCTGACTTTGGCCACCCTATTTAAAAAAAAAAAAATGGATTTAGAAAGTCTTCAGGTTTTTGCCAATTTCAAAGTTGAAAGTACTAATATAGACCTACAAAATAAGACCAAAAATTTATAACATTTGGTTTAAAAGTTATGACAATGTAAAGTTCAAAAGTGGACCAAAGTGACCCAACTTTACGGTACTTGGTTGGAAAAAATCTCCATTAGTATGAGTAGTTTGTTTAAAGTACTCTTACCTTTTAGGCACAAGTTCTTCCCTTCATCTGCACGTAGTGACATCTGTTCAGACAAGGCCATATAGTTAGTGTCAATTGTTGTGCATTCAGAGTTGTTGATTGATGGGTCAGGAGCAAACTTATATTTTTGAGTTATTCGGTATATCCAGCACTATATTGGCAGATTTTAGAAAATCAGCGCCTAGAAGGGTCCGTCTGTTGATATGTTCAGGAATGGAAATGAATGCGGTATGATGAATTCTGCCTTCCAATGCGATTCCGACACAAAAAACATAAGCATCCACTCGAGTAGTTTTACCATCTGCTAAAGTCATGTTCAACTGTCTTTGTTTATAAGGAACATGTTCATTGCCTGAGTTATTGTGAATATGGATAGGAAGGTCGGCAGTCCTCTGGTCATCCGAACAAAACCCAACAACAAAGAATATCGTCTTGCTCTTATATTAAAATTAGAAGTGTACCCACTCGAAGTCAACTCCAGAAGTATACAATCTGGCACAATGTTTGTTGGCACTCTGGCCTCTTTCTTCTAGAGGTACCTAAATCGGATTTAGCTTTAGATTGTCATAATTTTCATAATACCTGGCAACGGTGCCCTATCCAAAAATCCTTCGCCTCCCTTTTCCGCCACCGTAATAACCGTAAATTCTATTAAAACATAACCACTGTTCGCAAAATCTGCCGCCATTATGGCGGTCGCTTCCGCAGTCATCTGTTTTACGTTCCGTAGAGCAGCAGCAGCAGCGGCCGCCCTTTTGCCGCCCGCGCTCGCGATTTCTTAATAGAACCCATTTACGGCTCTCGCTCAATCTTTTTGAAAGGTTTCCCGAACGCCATAACGCTCAATTATTAAGCATTATTGCCCGTATTTTTGATTTCCTCTTTTCTCGCGCGAGCCTATATATAACGACCCTTTGTTTTTTATTGCTTGCGAGATTTACGACTCGAAAAGGCGAATTTATGAATTGAGGCTCAAAAATACAAAAAAAAAAGTGTAATCAATTAAATGGAGGCCGTCTCGACGTTGGATTTTTATAAGGGTGCTAATTAGTTACCGGTGGCACGTAGCGTCGCTCTTTTTTTCCATTTCTGGATTCGCAGTTGTTGTTTTTTTTCCTCTTTCTTGGGCACTTTTCTTCAAGCGAAACCTTCTTTTAGTAGCAATTAACGTAATAGCGAGTGCCTTCTTGATTTTGAAGGCAAATCTTTCTTCGTTGCTCGTCCGGAATTTTAATCAGATTTTTATTTTGCTTAAAACTAACTTTTTCAGTGGTTATTCTTGTTGTCAATCTTTAATTATCTTAGAAAACCCGGTAATAATGAAAATATTGTCTTTTCCGTCTCTTGATTTTTTGTCGAAAAAATAATGGGGCTTATCAAAATTTAGATTTTTACCAACCGATTCTTAATTTCCTCTATTCATAGATATTATACGTTGAGTGAGTTATACCTAATCCTACTCAGTAAAAAGCGCACGCGATTGCTAAGTGGGATAAAAGAGCTACAAGTTTTATGTTGCTTGCCAGTACTTAGTCGAAGTATTAAGAGAACAGTACATTCAGGTTTGACCTTGCAAAGAATGCGCAAATAAAAATTGAGATTTTTTAAGTTTTTCACAATAACTAGTAGTGATACTTGTCTAAAAGAAAAGAAAAACAATGAATTTTTTTGATAAGATTCTTTCTAATATTTTCAGATACTTACTGCCTGTTTTCAATCAGAGGTTTTGTTGCTAGTAGAAATTACTGTCAACCCCTTTGGATTTTGATACTGACGTAAAATGTACTCAAATATTCAAGTAGCTCTAATTATGTTGCTTGCAATCAAAGTTTCCAACCTAAATCCTCACAAAAGTCTCTAGAAAATTGCTTTGCATTTTCTCACAATAACAGTAGTAAGTGATTCCTTCAAACAAAAATTCGAGGTCACTTCTCATAGCACCTGTAATTTACAATCTCCACTCTCTCTCAGCGCTGACCGTCATTTTTCACAATTTCGCCGTACACTATCCACATTTCATCTTAAAGACCCATCTCTACGACTTGCCGTACGTTTATCGATTGCTATCAGTTTTGTGGCGGGGCCGTGATTCGTTCCGAAAAGCTCCGCCCGCACCCTCTCTACAGTCGCTATGGAAACCGGGCACGAGAAGAACTCGCACTTATGTCTCGCCAGCGCGTCCGACAGAGACGGAATTTAATGAGCAAAAAAAAAGAGCTTAGTCTGGGAGAATGATTTAGAGGGGTTAAAGGTCGCGCTTTGATTTTGTTTCAAAAAATATTTTCTTTGTTTCAGGTGAGAAGCCTCACAAGTGTTCCGTCTGCGGGAAAGCCTTCAGCCAATCCAGCAACTTGATTACGCATTCCAGAAAACACACCGGCTTTAAACCTTTCGCCTGCGACTTGTGCGGTCGCGCCTTCCAACGCAAAGTCGACCTGAGACGGCACAAGGAAACTCAGCACACCGAATTGCGACCTATCGTCACATAGTGCCAGACTGCCGGAAGTAGTGCTACTACGCTTCCGGTGGTGAACACTAGAAATCAGGTACAAAGTTTGGACAGCGGCAAAGGGTTTTTTAGGCCTCAAATGGGACAATTTGGACAAGAGCCGGGATTAATGGTGCAAGGCGGTGTTGAGGGTATGAGAGCTAGGTTTTCAAATGTTTGTTGGACGAATTGAAAATTTGTTATTGTTAATTTGGAGCTAGAGTGCTTTCCATTTACCTAAAAACTGAATGCTAAACTCTATCGACTCTAATTAGTATGTATTTTTTGGGCGAAGTTAATTTTTAAGGTTACCAGTTGTATCTGTGATTTTAGATGCCGGTTTGGGCACTTTGTACATTTTGTATATAATATTATTGGAAATATGACTAGACAAACCCAAAGAATTACCCAACGCTTTTTTGTTTTTTGTCTGTCGCAATAAATGTTGTTGTACATACAATTTCTTTTCAATATTAATTGAATATTTTTGTCTTGTATAGATACGCTGTGATGTTTGGCACCGCAATCTGGTATGTTTTAGGGTTATCATTACAAATCTAAAGGAAATATCACCTTGCGATAATCAATGATGTACTGGATGCCGCGTTCCTTGGTGCACTCAAAAATTTCAATTCCTGGCACGAAAAAGCCAACGTTTCTTTAACATACCAGGTTACAGTGCTTGTGCTCACAGTTCTAAAAATAAAATTGTAAGATTATTATTATATAAATTTAAAAAAAATTGTCTCAGAGTGGTCTGTCATGTCTTGTCTGTGCAATTATGAATGTGCAATATAAAACTCTTTTTCAACATATCACAGGCGTTTTTTCAAAGGAAAATGTTCACGAGTAAAAAACCTTTCATTGTATAAAAAAAAAAAATGTTATTCTTCTGGCAAATAAAATTGTATTAGAAAAATTTGTTGTTTTATTTCAAGCAGACTCAAAAGATTTTTTTCTATCTAGTAACTAAAAACTGAGACAGGATGTTCTGGAAATATTTCTCCTATGTGGTTCTTGGCAGAAACTTTAGCCGAGGAAAAAAATATGTATATGGAATAAACGAAAGTTCCTAACGGCACATAGTATCAGTTCAAAAGGAAAGGATGCCTTTTGGTCTATCCACCAACGCCCTTGCAACTTGGCAACATATTGGTTGATTAGTTGGTTGAAATACAGAGTTAACAAGCTGGGTTAGGTGGCCCCAAACTGCAGTCGTTGGCTTATTGTATTGTTTCGTGACCTCGATTAGGTTTAGGAGCCTCTTCACCGTGTTAATTTTGGTAAGTTTAGAGATAAGGTCTTCTGGCCCTATTTGTCTATATCTCTACCAGCGTAAAGCCTCACGTTCGAAGATTATGTGGGTAGCGGTTTCATCCTCCTCGTTTCAAAATTTGTATATGGGTTCTTCTTGGAGGATGCCGATTGCGTGAAGGTGTTTTCTCAGGCTACAGTGTCCAGTTATTAACCTGATTCAATTTCTGTTTAGTTGTAGGATCTCTTAAGTAAGTTTGGGTGATGGTTGTTGTGCCATTGGCTTACTGTATTTGAGCTTTGGAAGAGTTTGCCTGTAGGTTTGGTGTTTTCTATATACCGAAGATTTTGTGGTGCCAATTGCCAGTTCAGGAACAGTATAATTGGTTGCTAATTCTTCTCTTGCCAGAGTATCTGCTTTTTCATTTTCTTCAATTCCTTCAAGCCCTGGCACCCGTTTAAGGGTTACCTTCTTGGCCATACTTAGGTTTTTGAGCTTTTCCAAGCATTTCCAGATAAATTTGGATTTTATTTCAAAGCTGTTGAGTGCTTTGATCGACGCTTGATTGAGCAGATAAGGATGTTTTTACCTGTGTATCCCCTCCTTAGGTTTTCTCTCAGACAAGTGTCGATGGCATATATTTCTGCTTGGAATACAGTACTGTATTCTCCCAGAGGTTGACTGATGTTACATCTGGGAGTGTGTCCATATATTACAGCGCCAGTTCCAGTTTCTGTTTTAGAGCCGTCAGTAAACCAGACAATCTCTTGTTCAGGTGCTGCACCACTATTTCCTACTAGGATAATCTCGATGACAAAGGATTTTTGGAGGGATTTTTTCGGCATCATATAGTTGCTACCCACGTTAAAATCGGGTTTGTGATTATTTTGGTGATTGCTGCATGTCCGTTTGGTTTTGGGTTCCAAGTTTCGTTCAGCTGGAGACGATATGCCCCGATTATAGCCTCCGTTTTGACGATGAGGTCAATTGGTGGGAGGTTTAGGATCGTTTCCATACTTGTCGTTGGTGTGCTTTTCTGTGCACTGGTAATACAAAGACATGCAAGTCTCTGGATTTTGGCTAGCTCCAGGCTTATTGCTTGTCTGGTTTACTTTAGGCCACCATATGTTATCATTGATCTTACAACGGTAGTGTATATCCAGTGTACAACTGACGGCTTTAGTCCCTGTTATGTCTTTAGCATCCGGTATTTTTGTACCTTCTACTTTTACCATATAACTGGTAAAGGTAGAGTTTGAAGTGTTGTCATTTTTTATAATCCGTTTGATCTCATTAAACCTACTTTACAAGAAAAAGAAAATTTGAAATCGACAGTTGGAGAAGAAAATTTTAGGAAATTTATAGGGGGCGACAGGGTTAGAGTTCGTAATTTTTCGGATAAAAATACAAAATGAGAATATGGTCACATTACAGAAAGAAAGGGGCTAATACATTATTTAACCCATTGACGGGCTCTCGGCGAAAAATTGGACCATGTGGAGGACACTACATTTTTTCAATATAATTTTTTATTTCCATGGAATGGAAGTGTATGGACACTTCTCAGTATTTTTTTTCATTTACTGGGACACTTAAAAGAATCACGTATAATGTATAATAGCATAGGCGTCTGTTTTCGCAGACGCGCCCTTTTAAGGACTACAAATTTTGTCTGCAAATACAGACACGCCCGTCAATGTGTTAATAAAACTGGATGATGGTCGTATATGGCGTAGACACGTTTACCATATTGCAATCACACAAGTACCCAAAAACACGATTAATGATCCTACAGTTCTTTTGGGAGAGGATATAGATGGAGCCGTCCAAAATACCAATAATAATATTCACTCGACCATACAAGAAGTAGCAGATGAAGAGATTGAAACCACTAGAACTACTCTACAAGAAGAATCTGATGAAGACATTCAGAATACTAGCAATACTATGTAAGAAGAATCTTACAATAAAAAGAAGAACAATGTTACTGAAGAAAGAGAGACACAAGATCAGAATTCATCTATTCTACAAAACACGATGACTTTTAAAAGATCTAAACGCAAAATTGAGCCAGTTCAGAAAATGAGTTTATAATGAAAATTCACGAGGGCGGTATTTTTGTACCTTTTACCTTTACCATATAACTAGGTAGGGTTTGAAGCGAGGGGGAAATCACCTAGGAATTTTAGTGTACACGCGCAAAGAATTGCGAGGAATTTCAAGGAATTGCAAGGAAGTTTGAAGAGTTGCTAGGAATTGCGAGGATTTTCTAGGAATTGCGAAGATTTTTCAGGAATTGCGAGGAATTTTGAGGAATTTCAAGGGTTTGCATGGAATTGTTATCACTTTGAACCTAGAAAAAATGTTCAGTGTTGCCAAACGTTGTCTAACATAAAAAGGTAAAGTACTTGAGTATCATTTTATAACTGCTCCAGACAGAATACTGAAAGCCATGATTATATACTTAATATTATGTGAGCCAAAAAATACTTTGCTTTAGTATTTATCAGAGAGTGTGTTCATAAAATGAAGAGACATTTTCAAATCCTTGTTCCGTTCCACGCCAGTGATACATCTATTGTGTAATTAAAGCTTATGCTCAAAATACAGTGATACACTCTCGGATATACTTTCATAGGTATACATTCATCTCAAAGTGCTTAAACTCCGTTCCCTTGCTCTCTTAGTTTGCCAAAGTCTGGCAACGTTGCATCGCTAGTCATTTTTCATGAATTCTAACCTCAAAACCAGACCAGACCTGCTTTTACGTTGAAGGGCAGCTTATTTAAGGAATTTGAGGTATCATCACAAATTGTTGTACACAAAAACTTAACCACACTGTCAAAAATGTACATTTTATCAACGTGTCAAGTTCAACCGAGAGTTTGACTATGACAAGAAAAGCATTCCTAGAAACTCTCATAGATGGTGCAACCAAAAACAGTGAAAATAAACATAATATACAGGGTTTTCACTTAGTGCGATATCGGACGATATCTTCTTACAGGGTGATGCAACAAAAAAAATTACAAAGTTCTTTGATACTCTAATATGCATTAGTTAAAAATATATTTGAATATATAGGGTGCTCCGTTTATGGGGGTATGCCACAAAACTTTGTTTTTTTTCAAATTTAACACCCTATACATGTCATTGCATATTTGGATTATACGTAAAATTCTGAGCAGATTCCATGTAATACACCCTATACCTAAGTTCAACTGTTTTGGAAATATTGACTTTTTGTAACTTTGACAGGATGGAAAACCTAAACCGTTTAGGTTTTATAGTCTGTCAAAATTGCAAAAAGTCAATTTTCAAATGTCAATATTTCCAAAACAGTTAAACCTAGGTGAAAAGATATTATATTACATGAAATCTGCTCAGAATTTCACGTAGAATCCAAATATGCAATCACATACAGGGTGTTCCATTTTAAATAACAAAATTCTGTTGCATAACCCATAAACAGAGCACCCTGTATACAGGGTAAGATAGTGAACGCGCGGTGGTCCATATCTCCTATACTAACGGAGATCGGAGAAAAAACTAAATACAAAACTTGTAGATAAACATGAGTACTATATTCCTAAATTACTTTCCAGTATACAGGGTGGCCCAACAAGAAGTAGTGATACAAAGTTATGTTTTTCTAAATGACTCCCCCTGTATACTATGACATTTCTGGATTTTGTGGAAAATTCCAGGCATATTTCATGTACAATGCCATATACCTATCTTCAACTGTTTCGGAAATATTGACAATTGAAAATTGACTTTTTGCAACTTTGACAGGCTGTTAAACCTAAACGGTTAATTTTAGAGGAAAACCGATTTTACATTCCTAGCTTAGATTTTCATAAGCTATCATTTGACACCAACTTTGAATTTAACCGGAGATTAATAATTTAAGAGGAATTTTCAATCATTGATTAAATTCAAAGTTGGTGTCAAATGATAGTTTATGAAAAACTAAGACAAGAATGTATGATCGGTTTTGCTGTAAAATTAACCGTTCAGGTTTTATAGTTTGTCAAAGATGCAGAGTAGTCAATTTTCAACTGTCAATATTTCCGAAACAGTTGAAGATAGGTATATGACAATTGTACATGAAATATGTCTAGAATTTTCCGCAGAATCCAGAAATGCCATAATAAACAGGGGGAGCCATTTAAAAAAACTTTGTGTAACCACTACTTATTGGGCCACCCTGTATACTGGCAAATGATTTAGGAATGTAGTACTCATATTTATCTACAAGTTTTGTACTCAGTTTTTTCTTCGATCTCCGTTAGTATAGGAAATATGAACCACCGCGCGCTCACTAACTCACCTGTATTCAAAAATATTTTAAACTAATGCCTATTAGAGTATCAAACAACTTTGTAACTTAATTTTTTTTTCTTGCATCGCCCTCTAAGGAGATGATATCGCACTAAGTGGACACCCTGTATATGACGATAATTTCAAAAAATTTGCTTTGTATTTGTTTTACTCAGGAGGCAAACTATTTTATGAAACCTTACACAATAACATGAACAATATTCTACCATCCCTATCAACACTATACAGATATAAAATCAAAATTAAATCCAGAATAAAGTTACCCATGGGCAAGTTTGAAGCAACAGTTAACCACATGAATATTTTTATTGGACAGA